TGTGTGTGTGTGTGTGTGTGTGTGTAGGGCTGGGTGCTGTGTGTGTGTGTGTGTGTGTGTGTGTAGGGCTGGGTGCTGTGTGGGGGTCACTCTGGGCGTGGTGGGCGTGGGCCCTGCGTGGGGAGTCAGGCAAGGGCAGGCTCATGGCTCACGATCTGGCTCTGGAAGTAGTCGATGACCAGGGGGAAGTAGACATCGAGCACATGGCGGCACCGGGGCACCAGCAGCTTCACGGGGAGGACATCACACTCCTGCTCCAGAAACTTCTGAGTTTTGTTCTGGGAGGACAGAGATGGGGCTGTCAGCCTGGCCTCTCTGTGATCTTCCCCTGCCAGAGTCCCTGGATGCAGGGCCACCACCAGGGCAGACTGGCCCCTCTCCCAGGGCACCGGCATTCAGAGCGCCAGGGCGTTAAATAGCCGGGCACATGTAGGGCCCCCAGCCCCCAGGAAAGACTGTCTCTGGCTGTGCTGCCGAGCGCAGGCCCTGGAGGAGCCTGGAGTCCCCGGCAAAGCCAGGCCTCACCCTCAGCCTGGAAGAGGCCCCTTCAGGAGGCTCACTCCTTCCCTGCTCTGTCCCTCATCTCTTGGGCCCCAAGCTTCCCCCAGCATCTGGGCCTCATCACCTGGAAAATGGCCTCCTTGGTCATCTTAGTGAGGATGTGGACGATGTCCTCGCACTCTTGGCACAGGTCATCCTGGGAAGGGGCCCCAAGGTGGGGGGTTACATGAGGGGCGTCATGCTCTCAGCTCCAGTGGGCAGGCTCTCTCAGGCAGGGGCTGCCAGGACACTACCCCATCCCACCCACCCTATCCCATTTCATCTCAACCCATCCCTCCGCCGTGGGGGCTCCAACCCCCTCAGGCTCATCCAGAACCCACCCAGCACCCTCCATCCCAGGCCCCCAGTTGCCGTTCATCCTTGGTGGTACTCACGGCTCCTACGTGTCCCCAGACCTCCTGCAGACAGTGCCCCAGGGCTCTGCACTGCAACGCTTGCTCCAGACTTTGGCACCAGAACTCGGGGCCCTGGGCACAGGCCAGGGATGGGGCAGCCCAGACAGCTGCAGTTTGGGGCCAGAGCAACCTTAGCCAGGATCCAGGCTACACACCGGGCATCGTGACTCCACCCAACCTCTAAACCCAATTGTCCTGGGAGTGCACGGCCATTAGACACGCTGGAGTCAGACAGCTCTGGGTTCCCCCTGCTTCCAGTACCCACCGGCTACGTGACCCTGGACAAGCCCTGGAGCCTCTCTGAGCCCTGGCTGCCTTGTCTTTAAGATGAGAATCATGTATGGACTTGGGGTAATGCCTATCACAGAGCAGGTGCTCTGTAAGTGGCAGGGCTGCCTGTGACAGGGAGGCTGGGGGACTCACCAGTGCCCAGGCCACAGAATGTGGGCAACAGCAGCCACAGCAGCAGGTGTGACTTGGCCATGACACCTCAGAAGCCTGGGCGCCTGCTTGGGGTAGGGGCCTTTATAGTTGGAGGTGGGGCCTGGGGGCAGGGCTCTGGGGGAGCAGCAGGGACTCTGTGTTTGCCTTTGCCCTGGAGAGCCCTCCAGGGGCTTTGATCTTACCTCTTCCCAGCAGGGACACTCCTGCTGGCCCTGCCCTTGTCCTGGCTGATGGCCATTCCTCCTCCCCTTGCCTCCTGCCCTAACTCCTACAGCTTCCTCCACCCAGGGGGCTTTAAGGCATCAATACCTGGTCCCCATCTCCCCAGGCTGTGGGAGGGGAGCTGAGGCGGGTGACCCCCTCCCACACCCAGTCCTCCGGCCTCCTCCACTCTTGGGCAATGCTGTTAAGAGCTTCCCGCCTGGCTCTTGACCTAGAGCAAGTGCCGGAAGGGCAAACCCAGGACCCTCCTGGGCCACCTACCTCCCTCCTCATTTTTACCTTTTTCCCTAGAAAAATCCTCTGGTTCTATGGACACGATTGGCATTAGTAAGAAGAGCATTTACATGAAACAAAGAGTGAACAAAATGCCCCGAGAGTGTGAGACAAGGATGTGGGGGCTGAGATTTCTGTGCCCCAGAGTGCCTCTCAGACAGCCCCATACTGTGGATACTGCCTATGTCCCCTGGGGACCCCTCCAGGGCAGGGGCTGGGGCACAGCTTATGGGGCAGCAGAAAGAAACTCTGCAGTCACAGAGGCTCTCAGTCCAGATGCTACTGGGCTGGGCGCGCTGGGGGAAAAGCTCATAGGATGATGGGGAACAGAGGTTGCCCCAGGTAGAGGGAGCATAGCATTAGCTCATTGCCGCCATCCCAGCAATTGGGATGGATTTACCTGATTACCGCAGGAGCCCTCTCCCTAGTGAGGCTCGCAGGCCTCTCTACTCCAGTGCTCATGGGGTGGGCAGGGCGGGAATGAGTCCCATGATGAAAAGAGCTGGACACGAGATAGTTAAGTGAGACACTCAAGGTTACCCAAGGATTCATGTAGCTTCTGTTGGCCTCAAGCACTTGTCAGTACAACAAACACAGCTGCCATCATGGGTGTCCACCAAGAGTGTGTGAAAATGCATTAATGAAGGTTGGGAACCCAGTGACTTGCATAGGTGGGACTGGAACGTGCTTGCAGTTTAGTGAGTGTTACATAAGTAAGCTGAGTGGCGTCTGGTTTGGATGCAATCAAGACAGGCTGAGCAGGAGAGTGAGGATTTGCGGATGGCCATGTCCAGGGGAGTGTTGGTCAAGGTAGTCCAACCCTCCGGTCTCCATGGCTTCACACATACACGTTTTTCTTGTACTCAGGCCACAGTGCCGAGCAGGTTGGCTTTGGGTGGGGAGAGCCTGGTCCACGCAGTCATCCAGGGGCTCAGGCTCCTCCCTCTGCTTGTTTGGAGGGCTGGGAGTTCTCCTCTGGGTCCTCGGCATCTGGCCTGCAGGGGCCAGAGAGATAAAGGAAGATGGTGAGGGAGGTCTTAGGGACCAGGCCTGGCAGCGGTGTCCATCATTTCTGCCCTCTCAGTTCAATCACATGGCCTCAGTTAAGCCCGGGGAAGGCTGGGAAATGCGATGTTCCTGTGTGCCCGGGAGGAAAGGGAAACAGAGTTGGCGGACACAGAGCACTGTCTCAAAGCCATTATGCTGAATGCAAAACTAGGGTTTATGTGGGAATTTTCTTTTTCTTTATTTAAAATTATTTAAAAAAAATTTTAAATGTGGAACACTTCATGAATTTGTGTGTCATCCTTGCATAGTGGCCATGCTAATCTCTGTATTGTTCCAATTTTAGTGTATGTGCTGCCGAAGAGAGTACTATGTGAGGTTTTTCTAGGTAGTGGGTCTGTGGCTTCCATCAGATCCTCAAAGGTGGATTGGTATCGCCAGACTGTTGAGAGCTGCCATCCAAGAGCACAAATAAAGGAAACATAAAAAGCCAGCTGTGACAGGGCTGCCCTGGCCCTGAGGGGGTGAGGGTGCTCTGGCTCCTGGTCCCTGGGATGGGCAGTCCCCTCCTGGGTCCCCTTGCTGTGATGCCACCCTCACCACACAGTCTGATCACAACTGAGCTTCCCGTGGAGCGTGGCTGCAGGGAGAGCCCGCACGGGTCTGCCTGTGCAGGCGCTGTCCTCCTGGCCCATCTACTTCTCACTCGAAACGAGTAAAGAAACACTCTGAAGAAAAGAAAAGCAAGAACATTCAGATAGCTACTCCAGGGACTTGGAGCTTGATCAATTTGAGTTTATCCACGGGAGCTGGCTCCCCTCTTGGTGTGTTATTTCTGAGGGCCGGTTCCTTGTGACCAAACACAGAAGACATGCATCCTGCGTGACATTTTGAATGCGGGTCTACACAGGTCTACACTGCCCAAATCTGCTGTTGCTCACCCCCAATAACCCTATCTAGAAAGCAACTCACCCCATTCCTGCAAAGGGAAGCCCCACAGACCACCTCCTTCCATCCCCCTGGCCAGAGCTGGTTGGACCAGGGGGAGACACCAGACCCAAAGAGAATCAATCATAGACTTGGCCGAGCCAGTTGGATTGTTGAATTGGAGATGAGAGCGAGGCAGCAGCGTGTGGGGGTGAAGAGTCAAAGTCAAGTTAATGGTGCATCACAAAGAGGATCCCTGACCACTCAGTGCAAAGTGGCCTGGAGCAAATCCAAATCACACTTCATACCTCCTAAGATGGCTATTATGAAAAAACAGAAAATAGCAAGTGTTAGAGAGGATGTGGAGAATTTGGAACCCTAGTGCTCTACTGCTGAGAATGTAAAATGGTGCAGTCATTGGAAACAGTAGAAATCTATGTGGAAAACAGTTTGTGCAAAACAATTCCTCAAAAGATTGGACATCAGATTCCCTTAAGACCCAGCGATTCCACTACTAGTTGTGTAAATATCCAAGAGAATTGAAAACAGGGACTGGAGCAGATATCTGCCTGTCCGTGTTCATAGCATCATTATTCACAATAGCCAAAAAGTGGAAACAACTTGTGTCCACCAGCACATGAATGGGTGAACCAAACATGGGATGTATATGCAAGGGAATAGTCAGCTTTAAAAAGGAAGGAAATTATGACACATGCTACCACATGGATGAATCTCGAAAACATGATACTCAGTGAAATAAGCCAGTCACAAATGAACAAATATTGCATGACTCCACTTATATGATGTGCCCAGAGGAGTCAAGCTCATAGAGGTAGAAAGTAGATTAGAGGTTAGCAGGGGTCGGAGAGAAGGGAGTGGGAATTATTGTTTAATGTGTGTAGAGTTTCTATTTGGGATGATGAAAGTTCTGAGCTGGGAGTGGTGGCTCACAGAGGTAGTCCCAGCAAGTTCTAAGGCTGAGGCAGGAGGATGGCTTGAGCCCAGGAGTTCAAGGTCAGCCTGGGCAACATAGCGGGATTCTGTCTCTAAAAAAAAAAGTACTGGCCAGGCATGGTGGCTCACGCCTGTAATCCTAGCACTCTGGGAGGCCGAGGCAGAAGGATCGTTTGAACTCAGGAGTT